GTGGTCAATAAGAGCTGAGATGGGAGAGGGTGGCCATTTTAAAGAACTTATTTTTATATTTTTTGAATAGTGGTTTTATTAAAAACCTCATTAACACAAAGTATCCCAGTGTAAGTGTGCGGATAGGAAAAGGGGGCAGAGTTCATACCGGGGTATCTTTCTCTAAACTGAATCCGTCCTCCTGGGATCTCATTATTCTTTGCTCAAACTGACTATATTGTTCCAAACACCAGGTGGTTCTGTTCAGCCGTCTCTGTAGTTTGTGTTCATGTTCAGTCATATGAACGCTCCAACGTGTGAGATGCGTAAAGAATGAGAAATCACTGAAAGTGAACAGATGTGAAATTCAATCTAAAATCCTGAAAGAGACTAAAAAACTGGAAATGATGAGTAGATAAAACAGAAACTTCCATATTGTGAGGTTTTGGAGGAAAAGGAGCGTGAATGGAAACAGTGGAAACAGTGAAGCAACAGTTTTTAGTTGGTTGGCTTGAGTTCAGACTGCTGATTGATCTCCAGGTGACAGCCAGAGCCACGGCCCCCGGCCAGCCTGTCATTCTCTCACAGCCCCCCTGCCCCCACACCTCATCTTTGCCGCTGACACTTTCTTTTCACCACGACTTTTTAAGCTCTCTCTTGTGCCAGTTTATTTCTCACCTTCCTCTGCACTGATTCAGCTTCCCTCTGTGTCTTCCTCCTCTGTTTTCCTCATTGTCGTTCTGTTCTGTTGTTCTACTTCCTCAGGCGGCTGAGATGAGCTGGTCTGAGAAGCTCAGTCTTCACGTCCTTCTACAGGTGTGCAGTGGAGAGCTCCAGCATCAACGTGTGGCATGGAGGCTGCACAGCTGAAGAAAGAAAAGCTTTGCAGAGAGTGGTGAAGGCTGCACAGAAGTCTGTTGGAGTCCTTCTCCCCATCATCACAGACATCTACACCTCCATATGCAGGAAGAGGGCCACCTGCATCATGAAGGACCGCACTCACCCAGCACACACTATTGCCCTGGTCCCCTCAGGCAGGAGGTTGAGGCGCATTAAGTGTAGAACAACTAGACTGAGGAACAGCTCCTACCCCGAGGCTGTTAGACTCATGAATCTCTAACCAGAATAATAACTGTGAAAAAAAATCACTGTAATGCCACCTGGTTGTTCATGTGTGCTTCTCCAACCAGGAACTATCCACTTTACGTAGCGTATTTACTATGGAAGACTTGCACATGTCCAGGACTTACTTTCTTATTTTCTTTCTTTCTTTCTTTCTTGGAGGGGTTACTGGAGAGTGCACCTCCTGGGCCCTCCCTTGTTCTGCTGGGGGACAGTGAGACCTGGAGGGTTGTAGTTGTGAGAAAAGACCCCCCCCTGATCTGAACCCAAGTGATGTTCTGTTGTTGGACTTCTGTGCTTGTCATGGATTGTCCATAACAAACATCATGTTCAAGCATAAGGGTGTCCATATTTGCTCTTGGCACCAGGACACCCTAGGCAGCAGTTCAATGATCTACTTTGTTGTCATCTCATCTGTTCTGTGGCCGCATGTCTTGGACACTCGGATGAAGGGAGGGGCGGAGCTGTCCACAGACCAGTACCTGGGGGTGACTTGGCTCCGATGGTGGGCGAGGATGCCCGTCAGACCTGGCAGGCCCAAACGTATTGTGAGGGTTTTTTGGGAACATCTGGCAGAGTCTCCTGGGAGATTGAGTTTTAACTCCCACCTCCAAGAGAACTTCGAACATGTTCCGGGGGACGTAGGGGACATTGAGTCCGAGTGGGCCATGTTCTGTGCCTCTATTGTCGAGGCAGCTTACCGGAGCTGTGGCTGCAAGGTTGTCGGTGCCTGTCATGGCAGCAACCCTCGTACCCGGTGGTGGACACCGGCGGTGAGAGATGCTGTCAGGCTGAAGGAGTTCTATCGGGCCTTTTTGGCCCGTGGGACCCCGGAAGCAGCTGATGGACACCTTTTGCTACTTTTCTTTTTGACTGTCCTTTTGGTTGCTATTTTGTTTTGATTTGTTGAAAATTAAATACATTTTGTATGCCTCTTTTGTGACTGTTGTTGTTTTTGTTACTCACTGTTGTCATCACTCTTTGTTAAGAAATCAGGTCTCTTGTAAATGAGTCCCCGAGTCTCAATGGGATTAACCTGTCTAAATAAAGGTTGAAAGAAAAAGCCAACAACATACTGTAACAATCACAGAAAAACACATGACAGAAACCGAATGAGTGATGTCACCGTCCTACTAAGGACAGAGTGAGAAGGAGCAACTTATCTTCCAATGCTAACCAAACATAGCTAATAAACATTAAGGGGTACGGTCATTTGTTAGAACTTTATAAGATAAAACACAGCACCATCAGTCAACCATTTATACACAGCCTGTGTGTTCAACCTCACCTGTAACACAAAACAGAGCTTTAGATAAGCAGCAGTACACGTTGACACATTTATGATTGAGCTTCGTCAACTCGCTGCTTCTGTTGTAAAATGCAGAGGAGCGTTAGTGAGTTGTGTTCAGGCCTGAAAAAATCCAGTCCTGCCCGGCTTGAACCCGTATCATTTTTTTCCAGCCCGACCCGAACCCAACCAATTAACTGTGATTACAGGTCCGAACCCGAAAAAAAAAGCAGAACTTTGAAGATGAAGAAAAAAGTTGTATTTGGAGGGCCACATCTGATTGGACGATAAGAACAAATGCATATCTGGAGGACCACATCTGATTGGACAAAAAAAGAATTTGGCGTTATTGGTAGATTGTGTTACCCACAGACATTATGTCTATGGTGTTAACCGGTTCCACATTAGCAGTGTCTCCGGTTCGACGTTGGCGGCGTCTCCATAACTTCTCTTTCCGCCTCTATTAACACAGAACTTCCGGTTACATTTCAAAATAAGGGCAACATAAATGGGCAGTGGGGAGTGCTAAATGTTTGTTTTTTAATACCTAGCCATTACATTAAAAAACAAAATCCATTTTGGTTGTTGAATAATGTGAAAATAGTTACAATCAATTTATAAATAAAGAAAAATAAAGTAACCAAAATAATGATACTTAAACTGGCTTTGGGACAAAGGATGTTTCCTTCAACTTCACATTTTCTGGTTCATCCTTTTAAAGAAGTCACTGCAGATGAGTGATTGTCAGTTTCTGTTAGATTTCTGCAACTGGAGCAAGTATTTCTGTTTACTGGTTAAGTTCCTTAGCTGTCAGATTTTAAGGGTCAGTCCTACTCCGTATTTCAGCTTCTTTCATAGATCAGATCTCAGAGAATAGCACTTCTAAAGAGCAAATTTTGTTTTTAGCTTTTGTTTTGGACCATTATCTTGTTACAGGACTCATGATCTTTAATTGAGATCACCCATTTTGACCAATGGGAGCAGGTTTTGCTTCAAGTGCCTTCATATTTCAGTGTACCCAGACCACACTCAAGTCAACCTGTCAGGTGCAACCTACAACCAAAGAACAAAAGACAGCAAATATAACGCTGTTTATTAAAAATCTTCAATTAAAAAAAAAGAGCTGATGTAACTTACCCAAAGAGCCAGCAAATACAGCTAGCCAATCAGTGTTTGCGCTCTAGAAACGCCTATTCTCCAGAAACGACCACCTCTGGTCTGCAGAGAACCCCTTCTTGTCCAGTTGAGCTTGGATGGTTCACTGGCAGTAGTCCAGCTGAAACTTAACTGAACTTTTTTTTTTTGTAACCTCTTTCAACCAGCCGGTCAGCACTGTCAACCGGCCTTGTGCGGCTAGCAATACAAATTGGATCGTCAGCCGCGCGCGTCCAAGAATGCAATCAAAAGCCCACACTGAGGTCAGGGTGGCCCACCCATCCAGCACATTTGGCCCAGGCCCAGGCTAGAAATGAATGCTCTGTCAGTGATGCTCTAAACTTCACTACTGCCACCTACTGGCAGAAATAAGTATTGGCTGATTTTGTTTCTACAGTAGATGAGGCTTGGAAAAAAAACACACCCAGTTTACAATACACTGAGATTTAGCTAAGAAAGATTAGCAAGATTAATAAATTGAACACAAGGGTGCCACACGTGCAAGTACTGTGAACGCTCTGGCTGTGGCTGATCCAGACTTGAGAACTAGAGCTGCAGATTCAGTTCTGGATGGCAGGGTAGTCTCATCTCATCCTGGCTGTCTGTCCCAGGAAGTATTGGGAGTAAAAACTTGCATTTTCCTCCAGGTGGGGAACCCTGGAAATGACATCTTTCATCAGGAATTCCATTAGTTTGGACTGGACAGGCAGACCTTGAGGGGATGGTAAGTTGGTCTCCAGGACGTTGCAGAGTCTTGGGATGTTGTAAATTGCAGTGAGTACCCACTGTTGATCAAGCAGTCCATTCACCGTCTATGAATCAAGCCACATAGCAATTGGAGCAGCGCACAGAGCGGGCGAGCATGCAGTCTTTGCTGTGGTCGTCGCGGAGACAAGCAACTTTGAGCCATCACACTGCACATTTTCTGTGCTCATACCAGACAGGAGGATAAGGATGTAAGGAGCCGCAGGTTGGCTGACAGGGTCAGAAAGCAGCAAACTCGAGATTCAGACTTGAGGTGAACTCTGAAGATCTGTTCCGTCTGCCCAGTATCAACTGTAGAAGCTGACAGTTACACCTCAGAACATTTCTAAATTATGGTTGGCTTATGTGTTCAAAAATAAAGGGATCCATTTAAATTTCTTCTTTTAAGTAAAGTGCATTTGCTAGTTCCTGAGTGTTTCACGTATAGTCGAGATTTCCTTGCTTAACTGTAAATGTCCAAAAAAAACAACAAAAAAAAAAAGGCAAAGCAATGTTCCCGCAAAAGAGTTTGGCATGTGTGGGCGAGTAATGCGAGAAACTGTCCAAGCTCAGTTAAATTAAGTCACCATGACCCTAGTATTCCAAGTACATACAGTCCCACCAATGCATCTTAATCTTACAGAATTAGGGACACTTTAAAAAAAAAAAAATCACTTTTAAATGTGCAAGAAATTGCTTGTCTACAAGAATATAAAACCAAAGTGTTTATTTTATTCAATGATCGTCGCCTGCAGTCACGTTGTGGGCTTCGTCGCCTGCAGTCACGTTGTGGGCTTCGTCGCCTGCAGTCACGTTGTGGGCTTCGTCGCCTGCAGTCACGTTGTGGGCTTCGTCGCCTGCAGTCACGTTGTGGGCTTCGTCGCCTGCAGTCACGTTGTGGGCTTCGTCGCCTGCAGTCACGTTGTGGGCTTCGTCGCCTGCAGTCACGTTGTGGGC